TTCCCCATCTCTATTAGCCTCCCCGTCCACCTACGATCTCATTTCGTAGCGTAAGACATAATAATTTTTTCTTTTTGCCTAGTAGCCAAGTGGTAGCTTATCGCAACGATGCCTATCCGTTGCTGGTAGATTAGCTGTTGTATTTGTTTTCCTTTTCCTTTATGTATTGCGGCACAGTAGCTGAGGTTTTTCCCACTTCTAACTGACGTGTATAATGAGGATGATGATGGTTCAGGTGCTGCAATTTGCCTCCAGCAGGGTCTTGAGCTCCTTGTCATTTCCTGGCTTAACAATCTGCTCAAAACGGAATACTCCATTGGTTTTCCTATCGTAACTCTCATACCCGATCTTGAACTCCTAGGCGACGTCAAAACGGCTTAGACAACATGAGCAACTATAAATCGTCAAGCGTGACCTACTTTGTTTTTGATTTCCCGGATTTTGGTATTCCTTCTAAATCCCAATAAGTTTTAATGTCATTTTTAGCGTATCCGTTTAAATCCTCTTTTGTCCAGAAGCGATGAGTCTTCAATGATGTCGTAAGGTATGGATCAAGCTCTCTCATGACCTCGTTGCTTTTTGGATACAATACTCCACTGGAATGACCAACCAGTCTTTCTAAATCGATAGTTTTCTTCAAAAATATCTAAAGCCTGCAATTACCTGTGATTGTGTCTTGTTGTGATGCTGTTCAAGAACGAATGGCTTTATGCTTGATGGACGCCATAATTCAGCAGGACCATCACAGGCTTGATACGAATCTTGTGTTTCCGTTTTCTGATTACTTGGACTCAAAGACCTAGTTGGGTGCTTTGCCAGGTATCTTGTTCTAAATTCATTAATATAATGCAATTTCCAGTGATGCGGCGCAAGCGAGTTTCCATTGACCCGCAGTTCCTCTGGAATTATTTTGTAATTATGCGTAGTGCCTGTAGTTGTCTGGTAGTGCTCAGCTGGTTTAACAACATTTTCCTGGATTTTTGAACACACAACATTTTTCGAGAGCGTTTGCTATTTCGTAAATGTGAATATATAAATGATAATTTTCATAAAACTTACCAAGGTGTTACTATCAGGAAAGTAATATGGGGAGCGCCAGTGATGACCTACGCCGTAAGAAGAACGAAACACATCGTCCGTTTTTAGCGCTGACGAGATATTTTCTCTTTCTACCTTCATAACTAACACACGCTTTTGCCGTCATGGATGTAGTAAGTTTAACCATTAAAACAAACATCAGAGGGTGTCACATCGATCCACCTGTCAGTAAAGCATACAATATGTAGGTAATTTTGTAACTATGTTATACATGTTTGCGCGTTTAGGCTCATGAGTAGAACTTGACACGGCAACTCGATTGATAGGTGTACTATAATGTCGAGTTTATTGGTCAGGTCATGTCTGATCAAGACCCAAGGACGACCCAAGCTTTTGCCTAACGAGCGTACATTTTCCTGTAGCGATCAACGTGCCGGAGCCTCCGGCACCTGGACGTTTCAGCGCCTTGCTATTACAAGGGGGAAATGAAGCGTAACGGGGTAGCACTGCTGGTACAACGCCACGCGTTTACGTAGTTACCCGTGGAAAAATTGTGGCCAGTCATGGATCATGCAATACAGGTCTCACATCGAAACTATCTAATACTTGGAGTTCATAACCTTTATAAGAAAAGTTATCCTTTAAATAAAAGCGATAATAATATCTCTTAAATAAATTACTGCAAGTGTTCACAATATTGTGCCTCCTTTAAATTATATTCAGTGTTAATTTGAGACGTTGCGCTTACAGCAAGCAGAATTTCTCTTGTCCACGCGCGTGGACTTCTGTCCACTTTTCTTACAACTGCAGTCCCATGTTTCACAATACCAGCTTCAGGTAGAAGATGACGAACACGCATTTTCTCTTAACAGTAACCGCGTAAACGCTAAAGGAAAGTGAACGCGCACGATTTCTGCACATATAGGTATGTGTTGCAAACACTACATAGAGCTACCAAGGCAGTTGTCGGAATCGCAATTGAATTATCCGCTTATTATCCGCAAAGATTCAACTACCCTGTGTAACGCACATACCTGCTCCATTGATGCTGCATGCTGTGTTCAGTTTGCTGAACCACTAAATTCAGCAAGTTTAAGTTCACGTTCAAGTGGGACTGGAACGATTTGATGAATCCCGTAAGTGTTTCTTCTTGAGAGGGTCGTCGATCCAGGAGTTGATAGGTGTGCTCCGACTTCTTGATGGGTCTAAAAGGAAAAAACCGAAAAAGCACCCTGGTCCACCAATTTAATACCCACGTTCCTTACGTTAGCTGTCCCAGCTATGTTAGTCACGTGCAGTAAGTAAGAGAGGAAGAAAAAGCGAACAGAGTAGGAGAAACCAGTTAAAGGAAGAGCATAATACCAATGGCGAGGAAAAGTAAAGAAAGTAGAATCGAAGTATGTAGATGGGAATTAGTCAGGAAAAAGGAAAGGTTTCGTGTTGCCACCCAAGAGCGTCTAGTTGAGGCTCAAACACCTTTACCGTAGATCCATTGACAACATGTTCTGGAAGCAGGTTCCAACACTCATTGAAAATGTAGGTATCCAGTAGTGGTCAAACTTCTTAATCATATGGCTCCACCAGCCACTGATACATACTTTTCTAGAGCCACTATCTCTGCCTATAGCAGCTAGTCGTTATAGCCTCAATTAAACTTTGCTTATACCCCGAGCTCTCTAGGAGCTGCTCATTTCTTACAGTGTTCATTCTCTTGGATTGTTTGCGTCACAGCTCAGTTGTTTGTTGACCTATTCTGTGCCACCGTAGGATCCACTAGTACCTGAGGCCTTAATCTGAATTCTATGGCTAGCCACTTATCTCACTGCTAGCGCGCCGTTCTTCTTGGCAGTAGGTAGACATTGTTGGCCCCATGAAACCTACAAAGAGCAACTACCTGACGCTCCAGCTTTCATTTTTCCCTGACGTCTGTCTCCTTATTCAGCGCTCGTCTGTTGACCTATTCATTGAAACTATAACTATCATATGGCTTCACCAGCTACTGATACTTCCTTTTCTAGAGCCACTATCTCTGCTTAGCAGCAGCTAGTCGCCATAGCCTCAATTCAACTTTGCTGACACCCGGAGCTCTCTAGGAGCTGCCCATTTCTTACAATGTTCATTCTCTTTGATTGTTTGCGTCACAGCCCAGCTGCTTGGTGACCTATTCTGTGCCACCGTAAGATCCACTAGTAACTGATGCCTTAATCCGAATTCCGTGGCTGGCCATTCATTTCTCTCCTAGCGCGCAGTTATCCGTCTTTCGTCTTACTCTCGTGCAACTTTCTTATTGACAGTTGCTAGTCGTTGTTGGCCGCATGTAGCCTGGAAGGAGCAACTTCTTGACACTCCAGCCTTCATTTTCCTCTGACGACTGTCTTTTTAATCAGCGCTCGTCTGTTTTATTTATTCACTGAAACTGTAGTCATCCAGTACTGGTCAAACTTCCTAATTATATGGCTACACCAGCCTCTGATACATACTTTTCTTGAGCCACTATCTCTGCTTAGCAGCAGCTAGTCGCCATAGGTTCCATTTAACTTTGCGGATACCCGGAGCTTGCTCCGTTCTTACCATGATCATCCCTTTGATTGTTTGCGTCACAGCTCAGCTGTTTGTTGACCTATTCTGTGCCACCGTAGGACCCGCAGGTAGCTGAAGCCTTATTTCGAACTTTATTGCTGGCCATTCATCTCTCCTAGCGCGCCGTTATCCGTCGTCTGTCTTACTCGCGTTTACTTGACATGTGGTCAAAAGTCTTAATGATATGGTGGAATCAGCCACTGATACATCCTTTCCTTTAGCCACTATCTCTGCTCTGCGGCAGCTGTTTGCTGTATGCTCTATTCAACTTTGGGAATACTCCTTAGCTTGCTAGGCGTCAGTCCTTCTGTAGATTGTTTATTCTCCTGGTATAGTTTTTTCACAACTCAGCTGGTTTGCTGTCCAATCCTTTGACACGGTTGTTATTCATTGGCACCTCGAATGATTAACCCAACAGGCACCCTTGTCCACTGATACCCGGTCCAGTATCGATATCTTCTAATCGTCTTACCTTCAACACTTAGTCTTCCTTTGATATACATTTAATCTTAGCCAGCTTCTAATATGCTCAGCTTCCTATATTCATATACCCATGTACACTGTAGTTATGGTGTCTTAGGTAATCCTTATCCCGTGAGCATATATAAATACGGCCACATCGACACTCTCCTTGGGTTTCCGATAACAACCATTCGTGACTACACACCCACTTTCTAGTCTCAGGTAGAATTCGAACATTGTCAGCTTACACTTCATGAACATCTTACCGGAATCCTGCTCTTCATCCATTTGCACATGAAAGTATTCTACCCATCAGGCCATGCCTTCCGCATAAATAAAAACATCTTTAGCGTAATATCTGTTACACCTTGTACACTAGTTGTCTCAAATATATGTCTTAATGTAGGAGTTTGATCAAACGCTAGGTACATTGACTGTTCCTTTTCGGTCTTCTCTCGGCTTGTTCCTCTCTCCCTTTTCTCTGAGGTCGTGAACATCGGAGAGCTTCGGGATTGAACTGAGGAACTGCCTCCATCTGGGATGGGACGAAATAACCAACAAGTACTTACCTGGACCATGGCCTCACTTCCACTCTAACTATTTACACCCATCCACCGGTGTCCAGTGAGGGTAGCTGGACACGAATTCTTTGCTCCCCGGCAAATATACATAATCAGAGAAGACTTCATGTGGTTCTGCGAAGGATCAACACATCATATTCAATAAGAATGTTTAGTACCCGACCTACCAACGGACAGGACCCAGGAACGCAATGGGCAACCAGTTATTGCATCAACCAGCGGAAAAAATGGGACGCAACCTGACTGCGAATAACCGAGCAAACAGACTTTTAACAAGAAACATAGCCAGTTACAATTTGCCATTCAATGGATTGGTGGCAGTGTTCCAGGACGTGGTGGGTTTTCGCCTGGCAAGCGTTCTCCCTACAAAAAGCCACAAATGTCCGTTTAACAACACTGCAACGTGGCGTATGTGACTCGCCACCGAATAAAGTCACAGCCCATAACTTTACACTGGCAGGTCAACTAACGTCACAATTCTACATAGGATCGTTACACTGGGACTTCTACATCTGTATATACTGTTGTCGTTTTACATCCTACCATACGTTGCCCTTTTCCTTCCTTGTGTGCGGGCTCTTCCATTACGTTTCAGTGGATCATTCAGGTTTCTCAATCTCTTATTAGCTGAGGTCCCGTATCTCATGACAGTTAACTTATTGTTTCGCATTTTCAACATTGTACAGTTCCAATCATGGATATATGAACAATTTTCTGCGTTACTGTTACAATTGCATTATAATGTTTGTACCGTTGTACATATCTGATCATGCCTCCATGAGCGTGCCTCGCATAGTCGAGAATAAAATATTTATTTATTTATTTTATTTAAAAACCATGTCTCCGATCTAACTCGATCGGACCGCGGTTGGCCAGCTTCATACAATGCCCGCGGAGACCAGATAATCTATCAGGACAAAATAGCCAGGACAAATCAGGGCCAACCTCCCCAGTCAAAATACGGTAGGTTAGGATTAGGTCCCCTCTAATCCTTCGATAGTGCATTGACTGCATCCCCAAACTAAGTAGACGTTCGGGGTACGTTTGCCCAAGTAATCCCTTGACCAACCTAGTACCGACATGCAACACCCTTTCTAGTGTCATTTTGTCCCGAACAAGGCATGGTGGACAGGCCTGGACGCAATATTCTACTTGGGGTCGTACAAACGCTGAGAAAAGCTTCACAAACACATCAGCGGTTAGGGTCTCAAAAGAACGACGGATAAACCACAACATCCGGAACCCTTTACTAGCTGGCTTCTTCCAGTTGTCGCCAGAGTGTAGTGTGGAACCGTGGACCACACCTAGATCAACCTGATGAGTCACGTAAGGAAGTTCACTCCCATCCAGCACATAACTGGTGGAGGAATCAGACGCTTCGATACACAGCACCGAACACTGTTCCCGGTTCTTGGGCAGCAACCACAAGACAAACCATTCCCAGAGTCTATCCAGAGTCCCCTGAAGAGCCACAGGACCTCCAGGGATATCAACAATATTCCAGAGCTTTAGGTCATCAGCAAATAAAAGCGATGGTACCACAAGCTG